TGTTAACTATTCTGCCTATCATGCAGGTGACCCGCGTTCGTTTCCCCGCTAGGTTTTTTTTTAGCCCTTAACTGGGCGGCTGGCACGTTGTGTTGTGGTTTATGGCTAGGCTGCGATACCTACGCCTTTTTCGGTTTTGGGGTTTACAGCTAGTCTGCGACAGCGGCGACGTGATGCTCAATGGTCATGTCACTGGTAATCTTCGTTTGCCCTCTAGACGGCCGTTGGCACGTTGTGTTGTGGTTTACAGCTAGGCTGCGATATCTGACCTAAACTCTTCAGTCGTCGGTAGTAAATTTGTAGGTATGCCATCCTTCACTCGGGTGACCGGTGTTCGATTCCCAGCTAGGTGACAATCGTCCTGTTTCCCCTAAAAGGGTGGTTGCCACGTTGTGTTGTGGTTTACACCTAGGCTGCGATATCTGCGCCTTTCGTCCAAAGACATCCGATTTAAGTTAAGTCACAAATAGCCTCCCCGCGACGCTTCTCGATCAAAAACTATTCGGCGATGACAGAAACTGTTAACTAAGACGGTTTACAGTCCAGTTTAGTTTGGGTGGACACGGATGCCAAGGTCAGTTAAAAATCGTTCCCTCGAAGAGGGAAAGATGACATGTGCGGAGTATTTTTCCCCCTATTCGTGAGTATAGTGTACTTTTCACTATGGGTTCCATCACTGGTTACGTGATGAAGTTTTGTTTTTTACCTATGTCCGGGGAAAAATCAAATTAAATAGTGCGTGGCGACAGCATGCGGCGCTAATTCTTCTTTTCTACACCGACCTACACAAACTGTAGTGACAGTTTTTGTTGTTGTTGTGATGGTGGTGGTGGTTGTGGTTGCAGTAGTACTGGTACTGGATGGGTGATGTGGTATCTGTTACACTGGCTACATTTACCTCTCTGTACATGTTAATGCTACCTATTTAAGTCTGGGTAGACACGGATGCAAAGCTCAATTTAGTTACAATGTTTCGTTACACGGTGACTTTCCCGTCCTTCGGAGAAGATGATATTAATGGGGGAATGGGGGGGGGGGGGGTTATGCCAAACACAGTTAGCTGAGAGAGCTTAAAATATTATTTTAAAGTTCTTATTTCTTAACTATTTCTATTTTAATATTTTAGCCATAGATGCTTTTTCAATCCTATATGACTGCGTCGAGGGGAGAGGAGGGTGGTATGACAAAAACATTTAGCTGAGAGCTATTTTCTTTCCTCTCCGTTTCACTAATCTGAGCCACAGCAACGCGTTGCCGGGTACAGCTAGTAACTTGATATTTCTTCCTGCTTTATTTTACGATGTTTTCTTAAACCTGCTGTCGTTTCGTTTTTTCGCAAGAGATTCTGAGAGTAAAGAACGCTTTTTCCTCCCTTAAGTGTATTGGGTATATAGTGTTAGACTCATGTTTAATAGACAAGTCGGCACTGAGTGGGTGATGTGGTCAACATAACGCCGGCAGCCATTATTTCCCACGATCTTACTTGACAATAAGAATCCCTTTTTCCTTATTAAAATAACGTACAAGATTATTCAACACGCTTTCTCGAGTATCACGTGACACGCCTTTCAAACATACCTGACAAATGTATACCTTGCAGGTGTTCTGTTTTTTTTTAAATAATTTTTCTTTAAGTATACACAAATTCGCTGGTGAATACACACACACACACACACACACACACACACACACACTTAAGCCATGTGCACCTGCGCGCGCATACACACATATACAACAAAGAGGCAAGTGCACAGACACACACGCAGAGACAAAGACACGCTCACGCACAAACACATCAGTTTAGACAGGTTCAATTGAATGTTTTGGAGTGGCATATGAAAGTGCCGGAGAAGGGTGGGTTATCCATGTTAATGTTTGCTCACTCGAGGATGCATCCGTTTAGCGATAAATTGCAGCCAAAATAGCGCCATCTGCAGTGTTCAGAGGCGCACCTTACAGCAAGAATAGAACAGGTTTGATGCAAGCAAACACGCATCAAATGTGAGCAATTTAAAAGTCTGCATGTGGCAATTGCTGTCAACATCTGACAAATATTATTCGAGACATAAAGCACTAAAAACAAATGAAAGATGGGGCAGACATGGAGAGGTTTTTTATTGTTACACTGAAACTGTTTAAAGCTATCAGCAGAGTTAAGCAATGTGGTTTTTTTTTTTTTTTTTACAGTACGGAGAATATATAAATGGAAAGGTAACAATTTGTTATGACAGTCTAATAAAGGACTATATTGAAAATATAGTTATTGAACCCGTTGATTATTTACCAACCTTTCCTCCTCCTCCTTCTCTTCCTCCTTTACTTCTCCGTTGTCCAGCATCTCATCCACCATCTTCTTCTTCTTCTTCTTCTTCTTCTTCTTCTTCTTCTTCTTCTTCTTCTTCTTCTTCTTCTTCTTCTTCTTCTTCTTCTTCTTTTTCTTCTTCTTCTTCTTCTACATTTTCTTCTTCTTCTTCTCGAAGGTGACGATGAAGTATGACGAGTTTGCTACTTTTATAAACACACACACATACACACGCACATACTCACACACATATATAAACATAAAATGTTGGCCGAAATTGTTGAACATTTTCGCGACGCTCACGTTGAAGAGCACTGGTTTAAATGACTTCAAGTATTCAGCGCACTGAAAGGAACATGCGAAAGTTAACAACTGAGCTTGGGGAGCGTTAGTGTATCAGTTGTCTGGGACATAACCTAGAGTTCGTTATATGTCCTCTGCAGTCATGTTCCTTAAGTTTTCGTCTGCGGGCTGCCACGGATCAGCGGGAATCTCCACATCAAAAATTCCCAATCATGTAGCGGCTACAGTGAAAATGAACAGGAGAAATTAAATAGCTGTTTTTGCAGCGCTTCGTCTTAAATCATCGCTCCAGATAAGTATGACGTGTATCACCGCAGATGCCGCATTAACTAACAATTATAATTTAAAACTATTATATATATATATATATATATATATATATATATATATATATATATATATAGAGAGAGAGAGAGAGAGAGAGAGAGAGAGAGAGAGAGAGCGTGCGAGAGAGAGAACGAGAGAGAGAGAGAGAGCAATCCGCATTTTTTAGGTGTCTTTTTTGACGATCAGCCGGTCGACAAAATATTCCTCCGACTGCTTTAGTCCCTGGTTATAAAATTTTCCTAGATCACTGCTGTACACGATGTTGCAAACAACCCCAAGCTGGTATGGCTGTTGTGAATTTTGTTCCTTGAAATAGCTTTCAGCGTCATACGACCCTAATGCCGTTGTGGAAGTCAATCACAAGCAGCCTGTTGCCAAACTGCCTGCAGCTGACTTGGAAACGTGCTATGAACGGATTGAGAAACTGCACTGACAATCCCTAGGACGCAGACACCGACTGCGCGGGCTATGGGAATCTCCAAAATCCGATCTTGTCTGGGATTACTGATCCACCAACGTTGTGTGCTGAATGAATTAATCACGTGGTCTGTAAACACTGCCCATCCCTTAGCAGCATATCTCTGTTTCAGTCCGTCTCGTGTGTTTGTCTGTCAGTCTGTCTGTGTGCGTGTATGTGCCTCTCTGTGTCTGTAGGTAGAATTCTTTTTCTGCCGTTTGGCTTCAATGAAGACAATTTATTTGTGCAAACCTATCACATAATCTTCACCCACGGGTCAATGGCCTTCGTATCCCAGCTGAGAAGATTCGTCCATCGATAGACGGTCCATGAAATAAACACCTGCAGTGTGATGTTTGTGATACGACCCGCACGATAAACTGAGGTGTCGGATATAGATAATCCTTTATTCTTACACAAACTGCTCACCTTTCCCCGGCATTCATATTTCAGGTGTTTTCGCACCTTTAAATACATTCTTCATGTTTTTTCTTAGAGGAAATTTAGCTTTTTTTTTTTCTCTTATCCTCCAGCTATTCCATTGACGGTTTTTCAGGAGGGGGAGAGGAAAGGGGAGAGGAAGGGGGAGAGGAAGGGGGATAGGGATCTTCAGTTAATGCTTTGTGTAAGTTAATGTAAATTTCTTTAAGGTCCTATTTGTGTGTGTGTGTGTGTGTGTGTGTGTCTTCCACTGCTGTGTGTTAATTGTAATTCTTCAGCTTGTCAGCTGGTACTAGTTTATTCTCTTCAAATGGCCAAACCGTTTCATTGGTTGCTATTTAAAGAATGTTAATGTGTGTTTCACATAAAGTCTTCTTCTTCTTCTTCTTCTTCTTCTTCTTCTTCTAATGTTTTTTTTTTTTTTTAAATCTCTTCTTGCTACTGCTGGCAGCTCTCTTTGCTTCGCAACCGTGACTGGAGACTGGGGTGTGTTAAAAGAGAAGGGCGTCTGATTGATGTCTGACTTTGTCCAACACAGCTCGGTCTCTCTTCAAAGAGGGGTTATTCACCCTGTCGAGAGATTTGTAAACAACCTTAAAACCAAGACATTCAACGACGACTTTCAGGGATCCCCAAATTATTTACACTTCGAACTTGAACCTACAAACTTAGACTGCGAGGCAAGCGGCTTAGCTATGTGGCCACAGTGGCCCTTTTCAACGTTGCCGTTGCCTTGGCCAATAGGTCAAATAAAAAGCCTATATTACGCAAATGATTCATAGTAAATAGGATGCTAGAATCACATTGTTATATACCAACTGGCACTCGGTGGGTGCTGTGGTCAGCATCACACCGGTCGCCTTTACTTCCTACGGCATTGCCCGGGTCCCATTTTAGACTGGGTCGGCTTGGGAGTCAAGGTCAATTTTTTTTAGCCGGTTTGATGCAGGTTGGTTGGAAAATCCAAGACCTTTGGAACGAGTTAAACGTCTGGCCAGTAAACTGCCGTAGCTGTCGCAGCTCACTCCAGTGATTGCTTCCCTTGTCACGACGTGGCAGCAATCATGTGCCTAGACTTGCCACTTCTGATGTTGATAATCCCTTCTTACAACACTGGTTTATGAGTGTGTGGTCTAATTCATTGGTAAGAGGTTATCTTGTACATTACAGGCTGCCGCTTTCATGAGCTATTCCTGGAGATTTGGAGAGGTTCTCTGCAAACTGGTTCATTATGTACAGAACGTCAGTATGATCTGTTCTGTGATGACGCTTACCTGCATATCGTTAGAAAGGTAAATGATCGTTTGTTGTCCCCTATCTGTCCCTGTACAAACAAGCAAGGCAGTCCTCCTAGAGACACAGCATCACCATTAGTATCCCACAAACCATATGGCATTGGGTCACCAGCTCTTGCTGACTGTCTGATAAGCTCCTTCTATCTCTGTCCGTCAGCTGCCATGGATTCGATGTCTGCGTGTCTCAGACCTGTCCGTTCATCCACATTTTGTTTACAAATCTTTCTTGGCCTACCTTTTCTTTTCTACAGACGATGCGGCGAACTCCGATATGGTTTCTGTGTCAACTGCCTAAGATGTTTCGATTCGATCTCATTTCCAGTCCACTGTTCACAACCTTTGTCAAGGTATTCAAAGCTAGTGCTGTCAGCAGTTGTATTTTTGTTTTACATGAAACAGATAAAAACGGTAAAATGATTTTAAAAAATTAAGATGTAAACATTAATTTATTTATTTTTCTAATGAAAAGGAATAAACGCAAAGCAAAGAAAGACAAATTGTGCCATCAACAAGTAAAGGTTGGCTGCAATGTATCCATTGTTAACTATGGAGATAGTACATGGTTGCCCTAGTCTCTTCCACGGTGTGACCCTCGTGCCACTGAAGGTCACGAGAACGATATTTTTATTCTTTGCAAACCACCCGAAGCGAGAATCGAGCCCTGATAAACATCGATAATTGCCTTGCTACTAACTAACACCCAGGGCTGTCTTAAAGACTTTTATTGGTAGTCATCTGTAAAAAAAAAAAAAAAACAGTATAAAAGTCTTTTAACGGTTTTTGGATCCGATAGATAGAAAATTGATACCAAATCCACTTTTGAATGTCGGCATGTAAGACAGCACCTTCACTGGAGCACATGTGTCTGTCCCAGAGACCAGGGAATATTTGTCCCATGGCGTCCTTAACATTTTCTAGAGAATGAGTTGAATGTGCCTGCACTGGAAAATAGCTAACTTGTAACCTAAATAAGAGTTAATACACTTGTTTGAGATTGTGGTTCTTGGCAGGCAGGTGTGGGCGGTATGTTAGCTTTTCAGATTGAAAACAAGTACAACAATGTGTGTGTGTGTTTATGTGTGTCCACTGCATATACAATTTAACGCTGCTTATTTTTCCTGAACAATCAACGTTATTGTACTAGTAAAAGGATACAGACCTCTATAAAAATACATTCCTTGTTCCGTCTATATACTTCAGGACACTACGGAACTGTTGGGGGCACCAATATAATTGCTTTATGCGGTTTGATTCTCATCCTTGATGTGTTAATCCTGCGGACAACAGACATGGATGGGAACAATTATTACCTTACCCCACAAATGTATACCTACTACCAGGTGTGACAGTGTACGGAGAAGACAAAAGTTGTGCTGAACTGTGCATGATGAAGGCAACATTGCCAGTGGGACTATGATAGAGAATTCAATATTGGATGTGGGGCTATCGTAGAGAAAAACTCGTACCAGTGCAATTAGACTGTCGCGGAGACGATTTTACAACTGGGATTATCATAGAGAATATAACATTGCAAGTGTGGCTATAGTGGAAAATGTAACATTGCAAGTGTGGCTATAGTGGAAAATGTAACATTGCAAGTGTTGCTATAGTGGAAAATGTAACATTGCAAGTGTGGCTATAGTGGAAAATGTAACATTGCAAGTGGGATTATTAGAAGGAATGTAACACTGTGTGCAGGATTTATCATGGAGAATCCGTATCTTACACAGAAGTAGGTCTGTGTTGTATTTGCCGCCTCTTACATTCAAAACTAGTTGATGCACTTTGATACAATTGTTTCATCATACACTACATTCACTTCCATCTTGATACAGGGGGTGTACGATAATCCGTCGACAATGTTAAACATATCTGTTGTGGATACTCACGCATTTTACATTTTTTTTTTTTTTTGGGGGGGGGGGGGGGGCTTTTTTCGGACGGTGGCGGATAACAGAAACTAACAGTTAAACAAGTGACGTTTAATCGAATTATTATCTAACAAGAGGAGGGCTGGCTGAACTGTTAGAACGCTGGGCTCTTATGTGGGAGACCCATGTTCGAATCCTCGGTAAGGCTAAAGATTTTTCTGTTGTGGGCAAAATAAAATCTTCACCTGCACAGTCGTGTCGACAGCACTAGCTATGGCACAGTCGTGTCGACAGCACTAGCTATGGCACAGTCGTGTCGACAGCACTAGCTATGGCACAGTCGTGTCGACAGCACTAGCTATGGCACAGTCGTGTCGACAGCACTAGCTATGGCACAGTCGTGTCTACAGCACTAGCTATGGCACAGTCGTGTCGACAGCACTAGCTATGGCACAGTCGTGTCGACAGCACTAGCTATGGCACAGTCGTGTCGACAGCACTAGCTATGGCACAGTCGTGTCGACAGCACTAGCTATGGCACAGTCGTGTCGACAGCACTAGCTATGGCACAGTCGTGTCGACAGCACTAGCTATGGCACAGTCGTGTCGACAGCACTAGCTATGGCACAGTCGTGTCGACAGCACTAGCTATGGCACAGTCGTGTCGACAGCACTAGCTATGGCACAGTCGTGTCGACAGCACTAGCTATGCGGCCTTAAATCTTCAGGCTGAAAAGACCCCGCTGCCTACACCGCAGAAGTGGGATATGAAGGCCGTAATTGACAGCTGGCAGTTTTTATCTAACAAGTTAGTAAGTAATACAGTGAAGGACACTTTGGTGCGGTTAGTGCAAACGTCAATATTCCCAAAGACAGCAGTGTGTGCATTGTAGCCAATCTATTAAGGACACGGCACATGATGTTTGAATATTTATGTTTATACATCAGTGGGCATTCGCTGGGTGGTGTTGTCAACAGTTTATACATCAGTGGGCATTCGCTGGGTGGTGTTGTCAACAGTTTATACATCAGTCGGCATTCGCTGGGTGGTGTTGTCAACAGTTTATACATCAGTCGGCATTCGCTGGGTGGTGTTGTCAACAGTTTATACATCAGTCGGCATTCGCTGGGTGGTGTTGTCAACAGTTTATACATCAGTCGGCATTCGCTGGGTGGTGTTGTCAACAGTTTATACATCAGTCGGCATTCGCTGGGTGGTGTTGTCAACAGTTTATTCATCAGTGGGCATTCGCTGGGTGGTGTTGTCAACAGTTTATTCATCAGTCGGCATTCGCTGGGTGATGTTGTCAACAGTTTATACATCAGTCGGCATTCGCTGGGTGGTGTTGTCAACAGTTTATACATCAGTCGGCATTCGCTGGGTGGTGTTGTCAACAGTTTATACATCAGTCGGCATTCGCTGGGTGGTGTTGTCAACATCACGATGTCCCCTTTTACTTCCCAGGATTTTGCCTGGTATACATTTAAGGCTAAGACAACTAGGAACCAAGATCATTTTTTAACAGTCAGGCGACGTCCCGCTACCGCGGCTTCCATTTGCTTAATCAAGTAGCGACAACTATCATCGCCAACAGGAGAAAGGTTTTCTTTACGAAACTTCTGTGAAAGAGCAAAGTTCTAACATAGTGTAGTTTTAGAAGTTAGAGGTTACTAAAGCTGTCTGTTGGGAAATTATTCAGTGAAACCCTCAAATCTTCTACGTGTGAAAGCAACCAGAACAGCGGATTTTTTTTCTTTCTGACCGGTCCGCCTTAGAAATCTAACCTTCGTACTCGAGGTATAGGAAGGGCGATCATTAACCACAGAGCTGCACCGTCTGTGTCAAACGATAAAATATAAACCATCATCATCATCATGTAGTAGGTCCTTTGTAGAGCGTCGCTCTCATCACAGTATTCCTGAAGGAAACTCGGTCTCTCGCCAGTTCTCCCGCCAGTTGTCCCGTACTCTAGGAGTCACTTACATCCTGTGCCCATCTTCGTGTCGGTCGGCCCCTGCCCCTCCTTCCTGGTACAATGCCTTCTGCTATATTTTCTCGAATCCATCGTGGCGCCTGATATGACCAAAATAGTTGAGCTTCCGTAAAAATATAAACCACGATGATGTCTGGTTGACGTTCAATACCAGCAAGACCGCACAACGAGCGACCAACAGTCGCTGACATAAAGTGTCACCATTCGGATGAGGATCACACAAGCGCAAGTCCTAGAAACCCCTTTCAGACGTTATATATATTATGTTAGGGCCCCCGACAGCAGTCGAAGTCAGGTTTACAACAACAAAAAACACGAAAAATAGCGTCCTATAATGGGACGGTTTCAATTATTACACAGGAACATGGCTGACTGACTGATGTTGAACCACACTATGACATCACACCGAACGATAAACACCAGGTGACACAAAATGCCACCAATCGGAGGAGGATCACCCGCAGACAGGTCCCAGAAACCCCGCTGAACCCATAGGTTGGAATATATTAGGGCCCCTGGCTAATTGGAGCTTCAAAATAACGAAAACTTGCGTCCGACATTGGGACGCACTATATAAATGATTGCACATGTGTGAAACCCTGCATTTGGCCCCGTAAACTACAGGTCGGAAGAAAGTAAACAGTCTGTATTTTTAACAAGAATGCGTCACACTGTTCTCTCCACCGCCCCACCTAGTCTGCTGCTGGATGTTTGTGCGCAGTTTTTTTTTTTTTTGTCGGAAACGAGCACCTTTTCTTTGTGATATAAAATATATTTGAACTCCTTTCTACGCTCTTCTCTGAGTGAGAAAAAAAACTGTGACATGTTCAACGCTGTTTGAAAAAGTCTGATAAGGAAACGAGGCGTGAATTATCGCCCGATGCTTGCAACAAGGGCCGACATTGTATTTGTGGGTGTGTAGGTCTTTCCCTCGGGTGTGCCTTTAGTATGACGAAACCACCAAGCCCAGAAGTGTGGATGTCGACGCTTGACCTAGATGAGATAAGGCTAATGGAAGATTATCTACCCCAGCTTCTGTAAATACTGTTATGTAGACCTTCCTTTAGATAACTCAATGCTTGAGACAGGAGTTGCAGGAAGTTGGACGTGAGAGCCACCTCTCCGACTGAAT